GCTGCACGAGCCTATGGCGACAAAGCCCGCCAGAATGGGCGGGGCATCTGGCTATATAAGCGGGCGTTCGGCACAGGATTCTCCGATTTCTTCTCCTTCAGCGACGACTCTACGTCTTCAAGCTGATCCAAAGCCGCTCGCCGTTGACATGCCTTCGCAGCTGGAATCGGGACTTCTCAGCATGGCTGACCTGCTTCTCCGCCGCTTCAGCGACGCAGCAGTTCCGGTTCATTTCCCCTGCCGCCATCCGGCGATTCTAAAAGAGCTTACTAAAAGAGCTTGGCGTTGTTGCAAATGTCGCACCGTTACTGCGGTTTGTGCGGGTCTCCCCTGCACGCCGATGACGGCCACACCGAGAGCGTTTCCTGCTTGGGGAAATCCCACGCGGAAGCTGCGCTCACGGGAACTGAGTGTTCTCATTGTGAGAACTTCAGTCTCGCCTCTCTTCGCTCGTGGATTGCTTTCTTTTCAGAGAGCGACTCCACCCCTCGCTCCCTCCCATTTTCTTCCTCCCAGGGACCTGTGAGGAAAAAACAGCGGGGCAGAGGACTCGAGCGTCCGGCTGCGAGCGAGCTCACGTCGGTCCAGATCCCGCATGCCTCGCCCTCGCCCCAGAGAGTGAGTTCTCCCATTCTTTTCTCCCAGTCTGACCAGCGTCCCTCTGCCGGCGCGAGCGATCTGGTCTCATTTGGGGGAAGTGAGGATGAGCTGCTTGATGACAGCATGTCACTGACCGCCTCGGACGCAGAGGAGCTGTTGGGCTCGGTGACCGACCCCACAAATATCCTCGTTTTATTATCCCCATGACCCATCTCGACACCCCGGGGATGGCCTGCCAGGCCTCGGCCCGCGTGGCGAGGGGTTGGATTAACTCGGGTGACTGGCCGCACGGGGGCAGAACACTCGTGAGAAGTGGAAGAGGAAGTTTGCTCAGTTTTTGAAAATGTTTGTGTTTTATTTTTTCCGCTATAACAGCGGCTGATTGCTTGGGCGCTTGAATGGACCCGTTGTTCGCAACAAACACATTTTCCTCTGTACCCGGAGTTGAACGGGGTGTCAGGAGGTCTAAGAGAGGCTGCTTGGGAGGCGGTCCGGCCGTAGCGAGACCTGGCCCCATCCTCTTCCTGTCCCGCAGATCAGGAAGACGCCTGAGGCACCGGGTCCAACGCAATCTTGGGTCGGGGTCCCTGGCGCTTAGGAAGAGGGTAGTGTCTGGCCGAGCGGGAGCGTCTTCGCGTCTGCTGGGCCTTAGCAGGCTGAACAGCGGGGGCGGCAGGTGCTGGCTTCGCGGGCTGCTGAGTCGGCATAGACTTAGGGCGACTAGAGGTAGCAGCGGAGCTGGAGCGCTTTGGCAGGAAATGTCGCATAGCTTGGGACGAGTGTATGGACGCAGTTCTCTCCCCTCTGAGACAGATGGGAATCCGCATTCTCAACTACCTCGACGACTGGCTCGTTCTCGCCAAGTCAGAGGCAGAACTACTATCACACAAGACCCTCCTCCTCAGCCACCTAGAGCGCCTGGGTCTCGGGGTCAATTTTGCCAAGAGCATGTTGTTCCCCAGCCAGCGAATATTGTTCCTGGGAATAGTTTTCGACTCAGCTCAAATGAGTGCTGTAGTCGTGCCAGAACGGGCTCTGGCCATACGGAGACTGGCAGCCTCCTTCGAGATTGGTACCACTCGCCCTCTCAAAACGTTTCAGAGGATGCTAGGCCTCATGGCTGCAGCCTCGCCAGCGCTACAGTTGGGTCTGCTTCGTATGCGCCCCCTTCAGCGCTGGCCGAAACGACGGGTTCCATCCCATGCATGGCGTCACGGACGCAGGTCAGGGTGAATCAGGCCTGTATAACAGCCCTGGCCCCCTGGAAGAGCTCTCGCTGGATGGAACAGGGTGTGACCATGGGAATGGTTTGCAGAAGGACAGTTGTCACGACAGATGCCTCCAACGCAGGTTGGGGGGTGCTGTGCGAGGGCATACCGACTTTTGGCCACTGGTCAAAGACAGAGAAAGGCTTCCACATCAACTGCCTGGAATTGCTAGCAGTATGTTGAGCCTGTCAGTTCTTCCTGCCAGTCCTAAAGGAGCACCATGTGCTAATCCGATTGGACAAAATGTCGGTGGTGTCCTACATAAATCGCCAAGGAGGCCTCTCCTCGGAGCGCCTCTTCATTCTGGTAGAGTGCCTCCTGGAATGGGCTCAACTCAACCAAGAAAACTAATATGGTTATTGCAATAATCTTCAGTCAATGCAAAAAAAGATAAAACAGAGTCTTCAGGAAGAATCATCAAACACTTAGATAACACCAAAGCATATCATATTTTTCTTAAGAAAGGTGTTCTTTGCGAACTTACAAATTTCTTAAGACTTCATCTTAAGGAATTCCTTATATTGGTTCACAAGAAAAAAAACTGTTTATTTTCATTTAATCTTTATTTTCTTTTTTTGTTATCTGAACTGTTTCCATAACTCTACATTAGGTGTAAGAAAAGGGAAACACATTTCCGATCTGATGGCCCAGAAAGGAACTCCAAATCCTGTGTCACAGTCTAGCAGTACACAATGAGGGCTGAAATAGAAACTTGTGCTTCACATGGAGGGTTTTATTGGCTCCTCTGGTATTAATTAAGACTCCGGATATCCACAAGGCCAGAGCTCAAGCCTGCTCTTTAAACATCTCTCAGAATTTACCTTCTTTTCTTCTCCTGCCTGCTTGTTCTCTCTGTGTGTGAGTGTGTGGGTGTGTCTCTTTTGGGCCCCTTAAACTCAATTCCATTCCAAGGATTTTTGGGATGTTCCTAAAAGCAGCATGTCTTTTCTTCTCTGCTGGTCAACAACACACCTGCTTCCCCACCTCATCAACAAACAGCAATAGCAACAAATAAAACACACTTGAAGCATACTGTAAGCTGACAGAAAACTGACTACATTTATGGCATGACGATGATTTAACTTAATTTCAATTTTTTTTAAAACGTACACAATTAAAGTTTCCTTTTACAAATGTGAACAGCTTATTAAGTTGGTATAAAAGTGAAGATAATCTATTAAATAAACAGTTCTGTTCTGCTTTATCATAAATTGACAATTGTTATTATTATTTTATTACAAAAGCATGTTTAAACAAAGTGTAATTAATATGCCCACTGGAAAAAAATGTTTATGGATAATTTACAGAGCATTAAATTTTATTTCAGCTCAAGAAGGTTCTTAAATATTTTCATTCTGTATGGTAGTCAACAGTTTCTATTCATTTTGGATGTTGTACTGCATCTATGTTTTTTTATCACTCCACATAAAATCTAGATATAGAAAGAATACTGCTTACAAATACCAAGAACGGATTTGATTTATTAATACGTTAACTTTAAATTCTTCTGTATTTACTTTGAAACCTCACCTCAAACTTAGTTTACATATATACATATATTTTTTTTTTTTTTTTTCAAAATAAAATAAATAATAATAATATACTATATTGCCATATTATGTTAATGTTGCTCTAATTCATGCTCTGCAATGTACAAAAATGACAATTAACTTTTGATTTATACAACCTGATCTCTACAATACAGTTCCAGACTATTTGTCTTGTATTGCTATACAAAAAAGAGAGACATCTTCAGAAATCTGCAGGCAGGTTTGTTTGTTATATCGTACAGCTGCGGTTGAAGTGAGTCAAACCATCATCAGCAGAGAGAGCAGGGCAGGACTTCCTCTGTCACGCTCTCATATCACTCACACACACACCTATCCTTATGGGTTCATTCCATAGGCGTAATGGGTTTTTTTTACTGTACAAACTGTATTTTTAACCCCTTACCTTCTTTCTTAATTCTTACATTTTCATAACAAATTCATTCTGTATGATTTATAAGTTTGTTTCCTCATGAGAACCTAAAAAATGTCCCCACAAGGACATTTCCTAGTATTACTATACTGTGGGGACATTTAGTCTCCACAAAGTAGTGAATACCAGTACACACACACACACACACACACACACTCATTCTCACATGCTGTGCCACATTCCTGCCAGCTGCAGTGACATCAGAATCCAGTCCAGACTCGCTACGTCCCCAGCGTCTCACTCTCGCTGTCTGTCTCGCGTCTTCATTACCGTGTGCTGTGTAATGTAAAACAGCGTTCAGGAGGAGGAAACCTGATGCTGTCTTACATTAACCCGATTCCGCTCAGTGTGCCGTCTCTCTTATCTTAATGCTCGCTTTGTATACCTTTTCAACTTTTCAAAAGATGTCTGAAAGACCACAATAATCCACAAGACTCCAATCCATCAGTTAACATCTTGTGAATGCAAAAGCTCAGTGTTTGTAAGAAACAAACACAGTTTCAATTTCACTTCTGTCCAAAATACGACTCCATAATCCATAACGCTTCCTCCAGTGAAAATTCCATCTCTTGTGGTCTCTCACATCAAAATCCACACACATCTTTGCTGCTTTGGACTGTTTTTTGTTTGTAAACGGTGCTTGATCTATGCAGATTTCTCTCCTGATTCACTGGGGAAAGTAACGTTATGGATAGAGGACTCATATTTCAGTCAGAAGCTATGGTTTGAAGTTAAAATCATCTTGATGGATTTGTTTCTTACAAAGACGCAGCTTTTCTCTTCTCAAGACATTAACTGATGGACTGGAGATGTGTGGATTACTTGTGGATTATTGTGACGGCACCCATTCACTGCAGAGGATCCATTGGTGAGCAAGTGATGAAATGCTACATTTCTCTAAATCTGTTTCCATGAACAAACAAACTCATCTACATTTTGGATGGCCTGGAGGTGAATACATTTTAGTAAAATATAATTTTTGGGTGAACTATACCTTTGAGACAGATTCACAATATTAAAATTTTCTTTAAATAATTTTCCCTGTAGTCCACTTGCAATGCATTTGCGATTGCAGTTATATTTTTCATACAGAAATCACCCCCATTCAAATGAATCAAAACACAGGGAAATTAGAACAGCCAACAGTAAACTGTTCCTGTTATACAGTGTTAGCAGAGCAGACTCTGCTGCAATACAGCAATGCAAACATCAGAACCTCTAATGTTGTCACTTTCACACCATAAGACTGCATACAGTAATATCACCCAGCTTGATCTAGGTAAAGTGAACTCAAGAAGCCATTAGCCTGAGTGATTAGGTTTCTTTGTGACTTTCATCATTGATTTTTTTTTTTAATCAACAGGAAATCACTAACACGCCTTTTTAACTCTTTCACTAAGAATACTGCAAATTTATCAACAATTTTTTTTGTCTTCAATTTAAGTTGTAAGCAAAAAATAAATAAATAAATGAAAAATACACTTAGTGAGCCAATGACATAACCATCACCAGTTTATAACGTACACAAGACGAGAAAGCTGAAAAAAACTTGTTTACCTTTATTTTTTATTTATTTTCTAGTAATATTTAAAGATTTATTTCATGAAAATGATACAGATCTAACATGTATCATACTCCTATATGATGGTTCCAGGTCTGGGATGAGCCCTGAATAACAGTGCCTGCCAACAGATTCAGACTCCACCCAACATCACATTAACCTATGACAGCAAGTCAGCTAACAAAAAATGAAGGCAAACAGTATTTTATTTGACCAGTATGTCTGAACGTTGGCCAGACTGCACAAATATGAGGCATTGTAAACTTAAATTATCTTGCAATTAGCAAGCATCCAATTAGTAAGCACCTCGACCAGACTTCTTTCGCCCCAATGGAAAGCACATTTACGCTGTCTGAATCGTTCCCTATGCCCTATATAGTGCACTATGTGCCATTCACTGTACAGAAAATACTAACTCTGTGAACAAGTGACCAATTTCAGCTGCAGCTTCAGTGTCTATTTATAGTGTAGGGGGCGGATTCTTCAGATTCTAGAGAGCATTTGATTGGACAGAAAGTTTGATGAGAATCTAAAGTGCGGGGTGATGTCCACATTGGCGGAAGTTAGAGAAGTTGAATGCTTATATCTAGTAAATGACTTGAGTTAAGCTTGTTAGCTGTTGCTAATTTGTGAATGTGCAATCCAATATGGAGATGTGCCTTTTAAATGTTTGTGTAGGATGTGTGTTTAATACCCTGAGGAAGGCCCTTAGGCCGAAACGCGTCGGTATTGTTAATAAAAATCTCCTTATCACAAGCAGTGCTGGAATCTTTCCTCACATTCTTGTATCCAGTTGTTTTCATACACCTTGTGAATGGTAAAGTTGCTCCATATCTTACCTTATATATCTTGTATAGGGCTGTGCAAATAATCGTATGCGATTTTCAAGCGCATCTCGTCAGTAAAGTCGGATCTGTGATTAGTAGTAAATCTCCAGCACGTGCTTTCAGATGGAGCAGCATTTACTACACAGAGCCGAAGATCACTGACAAGCTATGCAAAATTGCGTTCATAATCGGCAATGAATCGCCTGTGATTTTGAACGCAATTTTGCGTAGCTTGTCAGTGAACTACGGCTCTGTGTAGTAAATGCCACTCCATCTGAAAGCACGTGCTGGAGATTTACTACTGATTACAGAACCAGCTTTACTGACGAGATGCGCATGACAATCACATTCGATTAATCGTGCAGCCCTAATCAATATGATTAACCCGGCGCAAATCCATAGATACAGTGCGTTATTTATCTCTGTGTCAAAATTTCTGCTATCTAATCTGTTAAAGCTGGTTTGTTTCATATTTCTGACATTTTTGTGTGTTCCTACTAACAGGATTCTGCCTGACATTGTGAAGTTGCTCAAAGATTATGAGATGAAAGTCATAATATTTTTAGAATAAAATCAAAATTATGAGAATAAAGTATTTATATTGCATGAATAAAGTTAATTTAATTGAAAATTCCACATACTCTGCAAAAAAAACGCTTCATTCTTCAGCAACGTGTGAATTTTTCACCTGTTTTTTTTTGCATATGGGTCCAGGGCTGACTTAAGGCCCGTTCACACCAAGGACAATAACTATAAAGATAACGATAAAGATATAGTTCTAAAAATCGTTCTCAATATTAAAGAATAGCAGAGTCCACACCACAGCTATAACGATAAAGGCACAGAGAAACGATATCATTGGAATCACTTCCAGAACGATTTTTTTCAGCTGATGAACGATAAAATCATTGACACCCAATCAGAATCCATCCTACAATCACAAGCTCAAGATTTTAAAACGGCAGGCGCGTGTGCGCTTAGAATAAACTGACAATATCGTACGCTGGTGTGGATGCTAATATCGTTATCTTTATAAGTTATCGTTCTTGGTGTAAACGGGGCTTTACTATGCTACTGTGCAGTACATACACAAATTTCAGCAAGATTTCTAGCACAAACCTGGACAGTGTATGAGCTTGTAACACTCCAAAGAGAAAGGAAAACTTGAAATCGCATCATATGACCCCTTTAAAATAAAAAGAGACAATTAATATCTTTAATGTCTATAATATAAAACTAGCATATGGCATCTAATCATCAAACTTGAGAACACAAGGTAAGTATTTAATTTCTGCATTTGTTGTAGTTTTCACACTTTAAAATTATATAGACAGGAGATTATTTTTTTTTTGCCAATAATTGCTTTTTGCTGTGAATGGCGTAAACATTCAAATATGACTAAACCATTACAAATGATTGCTTGGAAAGCAGTGATTCAATTTACAGCTGCAACATTTCTTACAATTCCTTCATTACATCTTGCAAAAACGTAAGTTCACTAGCACAGCAAGAGACCCAGCGGAATTAGGATTTCTGGGAAATGTAGTTTGGAGGAACGTCATTTTAAAAGCAATGTGGTAATTCAAAACCCTGCGCCATCTGGTTCTATAATCGCCTCCCACTCACAAAGAGCCCTTTCTGGTCCCTCGGCTTGTGTTTATTTTGTGTTCTCTTCTTTGTTTACCCTTATGGCTCAGGTACAGGACCGAGAGATCAGGTCAGAAAGACAGAGAAGAGAGATGGTAGGAGATATGTCTGGAATTCTCCACATGTGCACTTAACCTGCGCATGAACTCCAGGCTACGGCCAAATGTTTTTCAGCTAGTCATGGGAGTAGCATTCTCACCACTAACATAACAGTTCACTTCGCCCATAGTAGTGTTGTGAAATGCTCTCTTCTCAGGAACGTAGCCATGTTGGGAAAGCATAAAAAGACTACATTATAAAATAATGTTTAAGATACATTTGTTATATCACTGCTTACAGGTTTTAAATGTATCTGAATATAGAAATGTTGTCTGCAATGTACATCTGCAATCAAGCACAGGGTCAAAAGTATCTAATTTGGGAAATATTTGTTAGGTTATTATGGAGCAGAAGCAGCCCTAATAAGTTTAGCCCATTTGTTTTATTTTGAAATATAACCATGGGAGAAATAAGCTTCATAGCAAATGTGTGTTACTGTTATTATTATTATTATTATTTGCAGCCAAACAAATTTTTGGTTCTTGAGTTATTTGAGTGTGTTTCTATAAGAATTTATATATTTTCGAGAATTTCGAGAATTTTTATAAGAATTTTCGAATCAATAAGTCAGTACAACTAATGTAAAATAATTTATCTTCTTGATATTTAACAGCAATATTTCATGAGTATCTGTAGCAAGTGCAAGACATTTCCTGAGTGATTCTTACAGAGAAAATAATAATAATGAATACTAATAATTATCTGTCTGGAATTATAATCCATATTCATTTAAATCCACATTTAACCTGATATAGATAACAATGCAGAGAGTAAAGTAAATACTAAAACTGTAATATACTAATTATTCAAATTTTTATTAATTCTATTAAAAAGTTTATGAAAATTTGAAACTGTTAAAGAAAAAAACATTTAAAAATGGTATCAATGTAATAAATGTACCCTTGCATGTAGGGTTGGGTATCGTTTTTTTTTTTTTTTCTCGATACCGGTGCCAAATTGATACTTTTAAAACGGTTCCGGTGCCTAAACCGATACTTATTAAAAAATACATAAATAAAAAATCCCAAAAAAATGATGGACTGGCCATTATAACAGAGATAGAATAGAGAGTGCAAATGTTAGAGGGTCAAGTTTTTTACTTAAAAAAAAAACAAGCAAATAAAATTAGAAGTAGCATTAGAATAGAGAGTGCTAGAGTTAGAGGGTCAAATGAAGATGAAAGATGTTTTCAGCCGTTTCTTGAAAATATTAAGAACTCAGCTGCTTGGATTGAGCTGGGCAGGACATTCCACCAGGAGGGAACAGTTAATGTAGAAGTCCATGAAAGTTTTATCATAGGTAGAATGCAAAATGTTTCAATACAAGCATTTCAGTCAAATGTAATTTATGCAATATTTCAAACCTTTAACCCACTTGGGAAAATCAACCCATGGCAACAGTTTAAAAGTAGCCCAATTCTGTGGAAAAAACGTGGACTTGGCAACCCTGCTACCGGAGTCAGCTTTGACTGATCACAGGTCAAGAATAAGGAGAGATGACTGACAAGACCATGCTGGAGTATTTGCTGATCAACAGATTCTGAGCTCACTGACAAATTTCTGATCTTGTAAGATGTACTCCCTTTACACAGAGTGCGTGTGATTGCGAAATCGAAAGTGAAAGTAAACGGCGCAAACGCTCATTCAAAAATATTTAAATACACCGCATCCTGAGAGCGGCTCGCTGATGCGCCAAAATTATATACAATATTAGAATGTTTAAAGGAGTGGACACGAAAATCGCGGGAGCGAAACACATGTTGCGGGAGCAGGCGGCAATGGTCAAGAGATTCAGCGGGAGTGGGATTAAGAAAACAGCCGAATCCCAGACATTTTGGGCAATTAAGAAATCCCGGCCGGACGCATTTTTGTAGATCCAAAAAGAGGGCATGTCCGGGGAAAAGAGGACGTATATGGTCACCCTAATTTATAATCTATTGCTAATCGATGTATTCTTTTTAAAGTAGCATATGGAACATATTTTCTGCCTCATTCTGTGACAAGAAGCCTCATCAGATCACAAAAGGAAGCATTTGACTGGTGTTGTGGAGTAAAAAGGTTATAATGTTCTCTTTTGTTGGACAACAGGTTTAGAAATGTGAATACAAGGGAGGTTTAGCTTTAGGCATTTTAATTTAAGCATGTTTAGCTTAGTTAACGGAAGGCTA